TCTGTTAGGAATACCGAGATCCGATACCTAGGAACCACCCTAGGTAGGGTAACCTCTCCCGAAATCGAAATCTCAGGTCTCCAATACCCCCCTCCAGCCCCCTTACGGGGCCCGCGCGTCATCATACATATCAATCTAAGTTGCGTCCTGTGAGTATTATACCACAGAGTCGAAAGTGTTAAAATAACACCATGTACGTCGCCGCCGTCCATCCGACCGGATCCTGTTCGTAGGATATATAAGAGGGGACCTTCGGCTAGGTCTGGGAAGTATAACGGAGTGAATCCGTCAACTACCCAGAAAGTTACTAGGTTTCAAGGACAAGATATCTTCGGCATAGGCCGTAAGTAACGGGACGTTTTCGCGCAAAGAGATGATGATGAATAGTAAAGGATCTTAATGAAAGACCAATACATTCACATCTACCCTACGATAACCAGAAGAGTCTGGAACTCCTGAGAATACTACCATCAAACCCAATGAAGTTGGAGGAGTGTTACGACTAGTTTCCGGTACATACTGCAACCGAAGGGGTGACTTCCAAACCGATAACAGTAACCAGAATCCTATTACCCACGGCAACCAAGGGTTACCGACCGAGGGATTATCTACCAATCCTATGGAAAGGCTTCCTGCAGGCAAGTAGGAAGTCCTCCGGAAAAGATCTATCTGTTGGGTATGGAGTTATGAAGAGTTGAAGTTAGATGACCTAGAAAGTCGGTAATAACAACTATCTTCGCAGATGCAACCCGCAGACGAAACTGATCATTTCGTTGACAAGGGAGACGATTGGAGCCAACACAGTTCAACTTGAGAATTGGGCCATTTGTCTAAAAAGACTCTCACCATCGGATAATTACTATTGGAAACAGCATGACTTCCAAATAGTCATATTATAATTATCAAAGAGGGTGTGATGATTTTCAGGGTCTCCAGGTGTTCGCACCTTGGAAGAAAACCCGACGTTGCGAGTTATATTGGAAAAAGGTACATGGTTGTATGTTAGTTAGATGTAGTCCGCGAACACTCAGACACGGAATATAAATATCGAAGTGCCTCCCAAGCTTTAGACATCATCAAGCAACGGAGAAGAGACCTTAACAATATAATATTGTTCTTACGATTTTACTTTACTTTACTTTACTTCGCTCTTAGTAGTCATAAACGAAATGAGTGAAGTCTGAGCCTTCCTAGACAATCTCCGTCTATAAAAACGAATCTCGATCGGCCTAGACAACTCTGAAATCTATCAGGTTGTCTCCGCCTAACAGCTTCTAAGAGAAACTCTGTCACATTCATGTTGTGGGGTGTGCGGACTAGGCACCTGAGTTGATCGTCCTTGCATATACGTCTCGCAATTCTGATAGACGCCTCAGGACTTCTCANNACAACAAATAATATACTAAAAAAAAAATTAAAAAACAAATTAAAAAAATTAAAAAATTAAAAATTAAAAAAGGGACCTCCAGTACAGACTCCTCACGCAATCACTTAAGTCTTTCCTATACCACAAGATAGAATCTAGACTCTTATTCACACACAAACATCTCCTGCGATGCTACATGGAAAAGAAATCTCACTCAGCAAATAAAGAAAGATCTTGATAATCATTATCAAAACTGGTAACAAAGACAAAGAGTCTCAGAGCTATCGAGGTGTCAGAGAGGTAAGATCATTACTTGTTAAAAAACTAATATACACAGAGTAGGATTACTACACTCTTTCTTGCAGCTTTGAAAAAGTAACTCACTGTCTGAAAATCTTATCAGAATATTTACTTGAATACCTATACCTATCAAGTTGTAGCAACATATAGGAGTAGCATTTTTATATTTATGGTACTCATAGTTGTTATTCCAAATAGACAAGATTTTAGAGTAGTAGGAATAGATAAAGGATGTATCTTTAGTTTTTATTGAGTATTATCAAATCCTATTAGATTCTGAAGACTCTACTTGTCTTGAGTAGCTAATATTCAGCAATTTATCAGGAAGACCAACCAGCAGAAAACTGCACAGTTTATACTGCATATTATTGCTTATACAATGTATAATACTATTGTAGCATGAACATTGTACTAAATATTTCAGTGAGTGATAGTTCATGATTCTCTTGCATTTGAAATCCTGTTAACCTGTGATGCTTTATCTTGTTTATTACACTGTTAATACAGGAGGTGCATCTAGATATTATATGCAGGGAAAACATTTACTTCTTAATTGAATCCCTCTCCTCTTTTTTACACTAACTACTTTGGCTATATACAGGCATAATTTTATCTCCTTGACAATACTCTCCCAGCTCCTAGGATCACCTCCGTATTCGAGCTCTTCATGCCGGGAACTTTCAAGTAGTCATCATACCCAACTCGATGCTTCTGCCCACACCAGCCCAACCCCCATTTCTAGCAAAATATACAATATTTAGGTACTATATCTCCGCAGCGTGATAATATAAATCTCAGGAAAATGTTCAGCTAGTTGAAGAATTGATCTACAAACCTTGGGATATAATTCCAGTACTAGTACATTTATAACACTACTTACAAATAGAGGCATCGCAGGGCGCAACCACATTATCCGCGGAATAAAAACTCTTTCCAAGGTATGTATCATCACATAATACCCAATGGCTACTCCGATACCCCCAAGATACACATCCCGTACAGTTATACCATCATGCAACACCGTTCCAGATCACCCCCAGAAACCTGGATCTCAAATTATCACTCGGACCAAGATTCGAAAACCTTATAACGATTTTTTGAGGAATTTGTACAGCGACCCGAACCGAATATTTTATTTATACTGCTCCAGTAACTGACTAGAAATAAAAACTCCATGGAGGTGTAGATGTCGGAGCGCTAGGTGAAGACAAGTTTTTGTCTAGGAGGCCGGCTGAGGAGATTTTATTTTCTTATGATAAAAATAAACCAAGAAACAAGGCACATGCAGAACCGGGTAGCGTTGCAATACCCTACCGGGAGAAGGTATATCATATATAGCAGGGTTTAGCTGCTTCGAACCCGCTCCCCGAGCTCGCTGTGTATAGTGCTGTACACATTTGTCCTAATCCATCACACAATACCATATGATATCATACAATAATACCTCCAGCCTAGCACAACCACCACCCTACGCCATTTATCTCACTTATCCACGCCATACTCACCCTCTACCATCCCCTACCACTAGTCACCGGTAAATACAGCCCCATCATTACTCACATGCAAGCCCGAGCACCATGTCGTGAGTTCTCTCTCACACAATCACTAACACGCCAGAATGCCACTTCCCAGTTGCTCATAACGCTTCCAGCCACCCCGCTGCGAAATCAGGGTATTCGCGAATTATATAATTCTCATATCGTACAGCGAACACAGCGCCCACCTTCAGGTTAGGACCTGGCCGCTAGGTTACCCCTCCAACAAACTACTATATGTCTTCACTCACTGCAGAGGAAGTCACTCGACCCCATCTTCCGTTCTGAAACATCACGTATCATACCACGAGTAGCGACTATCGTGCCGCAATTGCAGGACGAGAGGGGGTAATCGTTATACTTCCTCTACAACCTCACGATGAGGCAGCATTATCACACGACTAACCTTAGCCATACCAGCCCACACTGATACGATGAACGCATTCACAGATCTGCGAGCCCAAGTATCACATAGGTTCACCGTAGTACGAGCTTGGCTACAAAATTCGTGGCCCTCCTCCGCACATGAACAACAACCATTATTCTGTCGTGAGAGCAAAACAAAGTATTTTCATTTGATAACATAAAACATAATACTATACATACTGAAGAAAATCACCATCGTGTCTGCATGCCTTTCTGCTCCCTACATTCGTTCAACCTCCCCAGCATACTATCAATTAAGGGATTCCAATCAGATGGTTTCAACCTATCCCATTCTTCTTGCACAGCTTGATGCATTTTAGCATAGGTTCCAGGGAAGTGACAGTGTGCTTTGATGCATTGTTTCATCATTCGCCATACATTCTCAATAGGATTGAGATCAGTTAAACATGCAGAACACTTGTGTAGTGGGATACCCCACTCCGTCTTTGCCTCTACCAGTCCCTGCTTAATCTCATGCCATGGTGCTTGACCCTCCACAAACTGTGCCTCTGTAGATGCATTATAGTTGGTCAAGTGGTTGTTAGATATAGGAGCAACAATGGGGCAGAGGGCTTGGTCCAAATAGTCTTTTATTGTAATACCTCGCTTTCCAGTCTCCTGGAGAAACACCAATTCGGATTTCCAATTATGGCTTATTGCACCTCATATGGCCACCAATGTGTGGCCACTATTGAAGGTAAATTGGATACATTCTTTATGATAGCACTTATTCAGAAGTCTTATGACCTAGATAGAAGCTTGGTGAGAGTTATCAAAGATCAATTCATCAGAATAGATATGTTGCTACTACCAGTTCTGGGACTTATCAGCATGTTCAATCACATAACTGAGTTGTATCTTTTGGGTTTCACAATTGATAAATGGACTTTTGCAGGCTTTGCAGCATGTGTAACCTTCAGCTTTGAGTGCACGCTGAATAGTGCATCCAGAAACATGAAAACCTACATCTTGTCCTAGCTTACCCCAGCACGGTTGTCTACCCTCCCAGTTCTGCTGTAGCGTATAAATCAAATGCCGAATATCAGACTTTGTAAGGAGTGGTGGCTGGACTGAGTGATTGCCAGTGTGTGGTTGTGTTTGATGAGGATCTTGTACCCAGCTCTGAACAGTTGATCGTGACACACCAGTTCAATGCTCAACTTCATGCTTAGCAACTCCTGAATCCAAGAGTGAGAACCCAACTGCAAACTGGTGTAGTCAATTCACCAGTAAGGCATGTTTTGGTTGGCATGGTTGGAGGCTCAATCATGCTGGTTTTGATACGTGATCCTTGGCATTTGTGTTGGGAACCACGAATTTTGTCGCCTAGCTCGTACAGTACAATGAACATCGATTTCGTAACCCCGGAAAAGCCAAAGGAAAGAGACCTCTATTTATTTCCCTACTATATCATTCGCTCGCTCTGCTGCTCAAGGGCTCATCTAGACCCTTTCCCCGTTCCTCCCACCCTCCCCTTCTGTAAAATTATATAACAACCAAAGCTAAGAAAAAACCACCGGCTCCATCCACTAGTCCATGCGAGAAACAAAAGTAGAAAACAAATTCAATGACTCAATGAAAAAAAAAAAAAAGTTGACCGCGGACCCCGCCAAACTTTTTTTGTAAAACTATACTGCCATGCTAACTTCGATACGTTTTGCTAGAAGAGGGGAGGTTGTTACAAAGGAAATGTTCGTGAGTGACCGGGTATGAATGATAATGATGACATGAATGCTAAGAAAACGGGGGAAACGAGAGTAGTCAGAGGGGGGTGTGCCAATAACAAGGGATATCGGAGAAAGGAAGAAACAGAGTACGATAAGGAAAAGGGAGAGAGGGAAAGAAAAAAAACGTATTGGGAGGGATAGGTTCTTTCTCGTTTTCCCCTTCCCCTTCCCGCTCTTGTTTTCGCCATTGTGCCAATCAATTAACATAAGCTTTAACCCGCACGAAATAAAGCTCGCATCCTGAATAATCCGAATGAATAATAAAGGGAGAAAGTAGTAGGAGAAAAGAGAAATCTCAAGCCAATGCAACCAAGATATAAAGGTAGAAGGAAAAAATAAACACAATGTGCAATTTACACCTTTTCTCCAAGCCCAAGAATAATTTTAAAACTAATCACTAGAAAGGAAAATGAAAAACGTTAGGAAGACACGATCCGGAACTAAGAACAATAAGAACTCCATGACCGCCGAGAAAGCAAAATATGATAAGAGGAAAGGGAAGAAAAGCTGATTTTAACAGGTCGTCCTGCATGTATAAACGAAGATTGATTTTTTTTGATTTTAAATGCAGTCTTGCTACTGCTGCGCCGCGACACACCAGTGCCTGTGGTAGACCCAAGCACTCTTCTGACACTCTTTGCTGCAGTACTTTGTGCGTCTGCACCTCCGGCACTTTGCAAATTGTCGGGTGTATTCCTCCCCCTTGCCACACTCGTAATAAGCGCACTGCCGGATTCCTCCTCGAGAGTCGTCCTTTCGGCAA